TCTGTATATTGATAGCTTCAATGAAGTAAAGAAAGGGACATTTAGACATTTGAAAGGGAAGTTGTTATTCAAGCTTTGGGTTTCTCCCACCCCTGCCCCACATCTAGAAATATCTATATAGTCTTGAGTACTTAAATGCAAATACATCAGCACATATAGCAAACGTACTTTTGGATGGCTATTAGGTGAGAACACATCCATTTTAACTCAGAGAACAAGGTGAAATAAGCTACTCAACATATACATCACTGCTATACTATCACGGCTGTTAAATATTTTGTTCAATTTTCTTAACTCTGATTTTGTATTGCATTTATAGAATGAGCTGTATAACTGCAAATTTAAATAACAGGAGAAAAGTCTTACATCATACAAAGTCATAAAAACATTTGCATGGTACGACCTACAAACTTCCCACTAATTGATTACTTTGAATGGTTAATCTGTGCAGCTCCTAATACTATTTATTCAAAGGTTGTGATCCTGAAGTTAAAAGCATGGCCATAGACCGCTTTCTTCAACTAGAGATATACCCAGTAGAATCCTCTAGCACAAATATCTGGTCGTGTGTGTTATTTTAATCAGTCCCAGGCAATCAATCCACTGCATTAAAAGCTCTGAAACTGTTCTGTTCCAGCATAGCCTCAGTAAAAATAAACTGGTAAAGCCTGGCATACAGATCAGTGTTTGGACAATTATATTACTCTGAAGAGTAAGAAAACTTTGCAGCTAGATAATCTCAATGCCTTCAAGTTTAACATCAGCTGCCAAACACTCAGCACTCTTGAAAAAATGGGCCACACATTTTAGGAGTCTAAACATGGCATTGAGATTACAACTTCAACAACTTGCTCTTCACCTAATATTCACTGGTATGTGTATTACCTAGATTAGCCATTGAAAATGTTAAGCTGTATTAAATTTTACTAAAATTGTCACATTGAAAATTTGAAATTTTCCAAATGGAAGTGATTCTAAGGCAGAAGAACATGACAGCAGCTTAAATTAAATATCTAAAACTAACACCTGTGGTAACATGCAATCTTAAACCTCATTTTGTTTTCATGTGATTTTCTTTCTTTGAAAACTTGAGCACGTTTCAAAAAGGAGTAGAAAAAGAAAAATCTGCAATTGTGAAAGATGCTACTTTACCATACCAATCCCCAGCTATGAGCTATGTTTAAACACAGAATAAGAATGCTCAGCTTTTAGGACCATGAACATTACACACTGTTTGTCTGAACAAACAGGAAGGACAAATCAAGGTGAAAACCACCCAGACACACAGTGTATTTCCTTAATTCAGAAGAGATACAGAAATTAAATTCATGTTCATAGAATGCAGTGTTTTTACTAGAATGAAAATAGCTCAACACTGATATGTAGTATTAAACATTTTTAACAAGCTTTAATAAGATTATTCACAAGATGGTAAAAACTAAGCTTGTAATTAAAACACAGCAGAAACTAATTCTCAAAAAACAAAAAAAGGTTAAAAATTTATAATAGTTAATTGTTTTCCTTATATATGGAGTGTAAATCAAAAAAGTGGATATACGAAACACTCAATTCCTGTCCTTGGGTTGTCCACAGATATGCCTGTAGCATATTTTTTGGGGAAAAACACTTGCATAAAAGTTTAGAAATATATTTTCAACTTTGTACCCTATAATCAGGGCTTTCTTTTGTACTTTAGGTCAGGGAATAAAAGAGAATATTCATATTATCTGACTTCCTGAAATGCAATGTAAGTGCCTAAAGTGGAATCCCAGGGGCTGTATAAGGTCAGTGGTGCCAGGTATGTTCTTCTAGAGAATTAGATTATCTAAATAAGGAACCTAGATTCTCTCTAAGGACAGAGAAATAGGCCCCTCAATTAAATGCTTAAGTTGTATGGTGTCAATACTTGACAAGATTTCTAACTGTTCCTTTAATGATTCAAGTGCAAGGCAACAACCCTTACATATATAAAGTACCTACCATGGTGGAAGCAGTATGGCTGAACTTAGACAAAATTACTTCTACCGGTTTTATGTCCATGAAAGAACTGTATTTGACGCTGTTTGTATTATCTTAAAATCCTGAGACAGGCAGAAAAGCTTCTAACAATGACGCATATAAGAAAAACTTAGCTATATGATTAATTTGCTCAGATTTAAATCAGAGTTCCCATGATGTTTATTTTTATTTAAAATCAAAAAATAACTGAACTTTTAAAAAATCTTAAGAGATGTCCTTCATAGCTTCTGTAAGCAAAAGCAGCTTTGCTGCAGCTAACGTGGCCATCGTGAATTCAACTTCATATGGGATATTTCAGTTTTAACTAAGAAGTACAGAAAATCAGCTTTCACTCCTACAAGTAATACTGCTAATTTTACTCATTTATCAGTAATGACATTCACTGTCACTTGTATATTAGTTTAATGTCAAGAAATGTTTTTTTTCCATCAGCACTGATGCTAGTTCTACTCTGGGGCCCACCCTGCAATGCAAACACTAAAGAATAAAGAAGTTTGATGGAAGGGCAAAGCTTCAAATTTGCATACAATTCCCCTGTGGTTTATCTTGTTTGCACGAGGTACATGTTTTTTCAGAAAATGGATGAGCAGCTGACATGCTGAATGCTATCTGGACTTTGCAAATATATATAGCATTTTAAAAAAAAATGGTAGCTGAACATTAAATATCTGCACAAAGTCTCTGAGAGCACTGGCTTTTCTAAGCTGTTTTTAAATTGCTAATTTAGAGCTAGCTAAAGTTTGGAAGAGAGGTGCTTTGTCCCCTCCTCTACAATATCATTACTGCAGTTAACCCAAAGAAAAAGGTATTTGCAAAACTGTGAATGATGCAGTATATATCCAACATGCATGCTAATGTGTATGCCCTGTGGAAGGTTGGAAGAGACAGGTAACTTCTACACACAGGAATGCTTTTGTGCTACACTTTCCAAACAACATGAAGTTTAATTAGAACTATTTTAGAATTTTCTGGAATTGCTACTGTATCTTTAAGAATACTCAATCTAAATACCACAGCCTTTTATGGAAGGAGACAAGCACAGCACACATCAGCAAGATGCATGTTTGACAGCACTGCAATTGCCAACAAGTCCTGATGAAAAGAATCACAAGCTCCAAGCTCTATTTAACTTTTTCATTATGACTTGCAAAATGTAACAGTCATCACAAGGAATTAATCATATAACAATAGTGTACTAACTGAAAAATAAGAACACGATTTCAGTGTAGCAAAGTAATTTGTGGAAACATGTAGTGTTTCCACAATAGCAGTAGATTACATTGCAACCCTTCAGAGAGGTTTATTTTTACTGTGTTCTTCAACTATGACTTTATACATGTCAGGGAGATTTAAGCATAGACAGATGAACAGCATATAAACAGCCAAACAGGCTTATTTAATTGGTGAGTCTGGTGCTCATAGGTGTGACCAACAAATAAGAATGCCCAACTTCTCACTTTGACATTATCCCTTAAAAAAATCTCCTAACCCTTACACAGAAACATTAAGGTATTATAAAGTTAAATTGCAAGGATTTCTTTCCTAGTTTATTACACAGAAATTATTTGGATGATAGCCTAAATACATAAGACGGTTGTTTAGACATAAAATGAGCTCATCTGTGTTCAACAACTGCTGTAGAAGCTTCTGAAAGTTCAAAGTATTGGTCATATGGACTGGTAAGGCATATTGTATGAGCAAATACATTTACAGCCTGTGCTTAGCTGCATATGAATTCCAGTGTATATGTCACAGCAGTTTCTTTGTATGATGGTATTAATATTTTTAAATCTGTTCCTTAGGTTAACATGTTAGGAACTGATTTCAGTACTTACTTTCTACTACTTTTGCTGCCCTGCACTGCAGAGCATTACCTATCTGTAATCTGTTTCCTTAACAGAACACAATTCCTGAAGAATACCGCATTTTTCCCCACTATCTTTCTACCCACACAGAAGATGATTCAACTACGATATTCCAGTTAGCAAGGCTACAGGCTATGGAATCTGTCTTGGCAGTATGCACAGTAAGTTTTCAGGTCCAAATGTATACACTTGAGCATAACTACGCCACGTCCAAAAGTCACGTAAGCTAAGTATCAGCGCGCACCTGGATAGAGTCAGGACATGGCCTCCTGTGCTAAATTCACCAGAAAAATGGTACAAAACCCCAGAACTCTAGTGGGAAACCTGGTCCCAAGGAGCACCCTTTTGCCACTACTTCAGCTACATAAGCATTAGATTGCCATTTATGCAAATACAACTCAAATGTGGTCACAATTGTGACAAATGAAAGGTCTCCACTATCAAGATGACTAAATTAATATAGATAAGAATGGGAAAAATAACATTTTAGCAAGAGATTACTGAGGCTGGAGTTAAATGACTTACTTAAAGTCACGTTAAGATGTCACTGGCAAAATTCAGAAGGTGAATCCAAATCTTTAGTTCCAAGACACACACTAAACACTTCTAAATCACTGGACTTCCAGAAAAAACAAAACATAAAGGTGCTACAAAGTGGAGGAAAGAGATCTCACTGACACACAAATATCAGCATAGAATACCAGGAAAAGATGAATGTGACAAAGGCTTGGGAACCATCTACAAAAGTAAGAAAAATCTAAATAGAAGAGCGAACAAACAAAAAAATATCCTGAGGTTTAAAGGGATTTATAAGAATATAAGCACTACCATAGAGAGAAAATACCCGCGGGATTAAACATATTACGTTTTATTACTTCATCAATGCCTACAGCTTGCACATTTCTTGACTATCAATATTCCCATTCAACAGTGAGAATCATATTGCTGAATACACTCCACATGTGGGGATAAATTGCAATTTAAAACTAAAGTAATACAGAAACACAATTTTCAAACCAAGTAGCAGGGCTGCAACCACTGTTTAATTCTCATTTAAAATGAATGAAGCAAAAATGCTATGCAAGACTATGAACACAGCAGGTATACCATCCTTACCTGCAAAGGAAGGAGAGTATTACTGTTGGTGTCAGTTCGGAAAACATTATCTTCAATCCACGATTTTGGTGTCAGTGATGGAGTAGAGCGAGTAAATTTAGGAGGAGCTATGACATTACCAGAAAAGGGCTTCTTCAAAGGAGAGATCTGGTTCATAGTTCCTGGAATTCCCATGGTTCCAGTTCTACGATGGTCTCTGCCATGCATTCCTCCCCAGGATATATTTCCTGTGCTCCAGCCACTGCTCTGATTGCTCCATGGTGACTGCTTCAGAAGAGGCTAAAAAAGAAAGATTAACTTATATTATTTTGAAAAAACTTGAAATGCTTTTCTACTTAACAAAACCCAAACCCCAAAACAACCAACCACCAAGAAAGCAATACGCAAAGATTTCTATAAACCGCTCTCTTCTGGTAACATGTAAATTAGTTACTGAGGCAAGGAAGAAAACACAGCTTGATTAAAAAAAAAAAAAAAAGTCATTCCTACTCCCCCATATGTCTCCCTAATAAATGCTGCGGTACTTGTGCAGGCAATTTTGATTATAATTTTTGTAACTGGTAGCATTTTTAAAGCTATGCAGGGTGGAAAACCAAGTTCCAGAAAAAACCTGAAACCAGTTTTTATCATACATTACTTGCTATTGTATGATGAGATCCCTGCAAAAGTAACAGAATAATTTCAAAGAGATCAATTAAAAATTATTATTTAAATAGTATTTATAGTTCTACTAATGATTATTTTTGCTCAGTGAGTAGTAGTATTTCACTACAGTGAGTAGAAATTCAAAAATTAAAATTCCAACAGCAGATTTAATTCCCCCCAATCCAGTATTTTGAGTATCATTGTCTCAGTATTACCATATAAGAGCAAAAAGAGCACTGACTACTGTACAGGAAATCTGTTTGAAGGAGCTATCTTAACATTTCCACATTAAAATGCATTGTTCTGAAGCCACTGCTCAAATATTTCTGGAGTAATGAATGGAGTAAAATGAATCTGTGGGATTTTGCAGGGTGTGCTCTAGAATTTTTTTTATTACTTTTTTTTTTTCTATCCAGATACGGTGTACCTTACACCTACCTAAATACACCTGTAAGTGCATTACATTCTCTAATATGTAAATGGAAGCAGCTTTTAGAAAGAAGATTTTTAAGGGATAAAGTTTTTATACCTAAACTACAACTTCTGCTAAATAGTGACCTATAGTGGTTGTCATAATACCAAGAGGTGGACCCACTGAGCATGACTGACAGTGAAGAACTGTATTTATCTTTAGTAGTCTCAAACCTGACTGTTCTTGGAAACGCTTTTCCTCAAACATAGAAATGGAGTGGGGGTGTGTGTGATGATTCTAAATTCAGTTCTGTGAAGTGAAAACACAGTACTTTTATCTCTAAGCTTAGCTGCAAGCAACCCTCAACCTGCAATTCTAATAACTTAAAAATGTAAAGCATGTCAATACATTATGTATCAGGTAAAAGAGAACTTTCTGAAGACAGATAAAATTGTAACAACACCCCCACCCCCCTCACCCCCAGACAACAAACCAAAAAAAACCACTAAAGCCATTCTTGGTCAAGTAATCAGGAAAACATCCTATTCTATATAATTACAGATAATTACATTGTAAAACCTGAATACTTGCGTTGGAATTTTGGGAGAGGCGGGCACTCTATTGTGAAACAAACCTTAAGAGATAATGCCAAACGTTAACAAGCCTCTAATATTGCTAGCTATGCTGTCATGGCACTGTTTAAGTATACCTACAACTTGTGAGAGAAAATTCCTGTACACCTCACTGTTGGAGAATTGCTTGGAATTTGTTTGAAGAAGGTTATTATAAATGTTAAGGACAACTAGCTCCTAATCATAATGCATCATAATCAGTTCTTCAACAGGCACACAATGTGAGATTCTAGTTCTGATACCAAGGAATCTCTACCGATTGAATCTGAGCAGATTTAATACCAGAATGAAAAAAAAAAAAATAAGATGGGGCCTATGTAATTTCAGCCTCTCATAAGTAAGCAAATTTTTGGAACAAAATGGGCTAATAATTCAACAGCTGGTAATACCACCACGGATTTGCTTCTCACTGACTTCTTGTAATATTCTGTTCCAGCAAGAAATGTAAACTTCCATTTTAATACGACATCATTAAACCCCTCGATTAAAATCGGTCACAAAACTACCGTAACTTGAAACACCGCGCTGTCCTCGAATACACGTTCAAGCAATGTCAGTCAAAAGCCCTGAAAAGGCAGTACGGTGTCAACTTTCGCATCTGACCCTCCTGTCGGCGACCTGTGCCCGTCCGACCGAGCCCGCCCGAGGGCCGGCCCGCGGCTGGGGAAGGGGCTGCGCGGGGGCGGCGCCGGCCGGAGCTGTCAGACTCATTGTTCCGGGGACACCGCGCCCGCCGCGGGGGACTCGGGGGGACAAGGGGGGCGTTTTCACGGCGGAAGTCCCAGACACCAACAGGAGCGGTTGATCGCTTATTTTAAGGCCAAACCCTCTCGTCCCGAGTAAAACGCTGGCGTCCCTCGGGGCGCAACGGCGCACCGAGGAGGGCAAGAACTACTCCGGCACCTGCAACCCGGAACGGGCGGGGAGAATTGCCGGGCACGGGGCGGCTGCTGTCCACACACAGACCCCTCCGGCCGCCCGGCACCGCACCGGGCGGGGGGCGCAGGTGCCCTCCCTCCCGCCGGGCCGGCCCCGCCCTGCCGCCGCCGCGGTCCCGCCGGGCTGTCACCGCCGCGCAGCCTCGCCCGGCGCCGGCGAGAACGAAGCTGCGCGGCTCCCGCGGCCGGCCGACGGAGGGCAGCGGAGCCTCCTTCCCTTCCCCGCGTCCCCCTTTCCCGCACCGGGGCTCCCCGCCACGGCCGCCGCCCGGTACCTGGTGGTGGTTGTAGGAGTTTCTCTGCTGTAGGAAGGCGGCGGCGGCGGCCGCCGCCTGGTGTTGGTGCTGGAGCTGGGGGCTCACAGGGGATCTCCGGTTCTGCTGTTGCTGCTGCTGCTGCTGAGGTAAATTCATCTGCGGCGGCGGCGGGGGGGCGGCGGCCGAGAAGGGGCTGCTGAAGGGCCCGGCGCAGGGGTTGTGAGGAGACACCGGCGAGAAGCTCTGGAAGAAAGCGGGGTTGATCGATGACGGGATCCCCGGGTAGAAGCTCGTCTCGGACTCCGGGCTCGGGGGTGGCATCGCGCTGATCTGCCCGCCGCCGCCGCCGCTGGAGACCGGAGGCTGCTGCGTCTGCTGCGGAGGCGGCGACGAGGTCTGCACCGACCAGGGGGTGCCGAAGCCGGGCAGCGGCGGAGGAGGAGGGGAAGCCGCCGAGGAGGAGCCGCCCCCGCTCTGGTGATGGGGGCTGGGGATCTCCGGGCTCTGCAGGCTGCTGAAGCCAGAGCCGAGCCCGCCGGGCAGGAGGTTCCCGGGGCTGCCCAGTAAGTGGCTGTTCGGGGGGGACTCCATGGGGGGCAGCTTGGCTCTCGCCTGCAGATGAGGAGACGAAGGCGGATTCACGTAGGAGGCGGCGGCCACCCCCACATTGGGGTCCGCGGATGGCGATCCCCCTGGGCAGGAAGGGGCGAGCCGCTCCGAATCCCCCCTGTCCACGCCGCCCTGGTGCTCGGCGGGGCCGACTGGCCGGTGGTGCGAGTGATCTCCCGTCCGCGGCGGCTCCGAGGGCTGAGCGCTGAGGAGCTGGAGCTGCTGCTGTTGCCTCTGCTCCTGCTGCTGGTACTTGTCAGTGGGGTGGCTGAACTGCTGCTGCTGCTGAGGGGGGTGGTGATGATAGTCTGGGGGGTGGTGGTTATTCAGGGGGTGGCTGCTGCCGAGCTGGGCTGGGCTGCTGAGCTGCTGCTTAAACTCTTTCCTCTTCTGGCTCAGCTGAGGAGGCGGCGGCTGTGGTTGCTGCGCTTGCTGCTTGTTTAAATCCTGGTGGGGGCTGAGACAGGGTTTAAAGTCAGAGGAGGGGTGGCCGAGAGGGGGGTGTCCCGACGCGGGGCTGCTGCCCAGCCTCTCGCTGCCTGGCTGCTGCTGCTGTGTCACCCCCAGGAGCAGCTCATCCTGCATGTTTTGATGATGCGCAGCAGCGAGCGCTGAGGGGAAACAGGGAGGGCAGCGGCGACCCGGCGACCGGACGAACCGGCTACAGCGGGCGGCAAAGGGCAGGAGGAATGAGGCGAGGCGGCTGCGGCCGCTCCGGGGAGGGGAAGGACCCGGCGGTGGGCAGGGGCTGGGGTGGCCGACTGCGGGAGCTACCCTGACGCCGGCTCGGCGCAGAGGTGAACCTCCACCCCAGCACACTAGAGACAAAGATAATTAATCTTTGTGGCGAAGTGTTGGGGGGCGGGGGGGTGGAAGAGTTTAAACACCCCGCCTATGGCAAACCACTATGTAAGTCCCAAAATAGCTTATTTATAGAATAAAGCTCTCTTCTTCCCCATCAACGCCACTGTACTGCTTTAAAAATACCGTAGCTTTTTGATACAAGCCCATTTTTATCGGAGATTTCTTTTTCCTTTTCGTTTACTGGGACCCCCAGTAAGGTGGCCCTTCCCGCCTGCAGTCGCACCCACAGGGATCCACTAGATCAGGAATTCGCCCGGACAGGTCACTGTCCCCGGACAGAAACTCCTCCGTCCGACCCCCCAGCCGCCACACCGCAACGCAGGGGACCAGCGGGGCATTCCCGGGCCTGGCACTGGCGGAGAGGGAAGGCGGGGAGGCCGCCGGTACCTCCACAGGGCAAGCAACCCGGTCTCCTCAGCGAGGCTCCTGCCCCCGCCCCGCTGCCGGCTCGGAGCCGCCGCGGCGCCCTTAAGAGCGCCGGAACATCCGTCATAGTGACGTCACAGGCACCGCCCCAGCTCGACGGGCCCTGGTAATGAGACTGTGGGCCTGCCCCATCATGAATAATGGATCAGGCCGGGAGCCCGCCCAGCGACTGGCCGGGTGGGTGCTACCACTTCAGCCAGGGGAGGTGCCAGCCCTGTGGGCCGCTTGGGTAGGGAAGGCTCTCTCTGCGCTTCGACGACCTTTCTATCGTCAAGCGAAAAACACGTGAAATAAAGAGATTTGATTTCGTTTTGCAGCAGCGGCTGCGATCGGCTTTTATCCCAACAGACTGGGCAGGGGCAGCCGCGACGCCGGTTTGTCCTGCCGCCTGTGATCCCGTCAGGAGCTCACTCGGGCCGAGGGAGAGAGGGATCGCCCCGCCCCTTCGCCTCGCGCGCCGCTCATTTGCATTGACGCACGACCGCGCGCCTCGGGCGGGGCGGGGCGGGGCGGGGAGGTGGAGCGCGAGCGCGGCAGCACGAGACGGGCCGGATGTCAAGGCCCCGCCCAGCCGCGGCCGGCCCCGCCCCCGAGCGCCGGTCCGGGGCGAGCCGTGTGCCTGCGTTCCCTCTGGGATCGGTGTGCGGGACTGCCTCGTCCCTTTCCCTGGCCCGTGGGGCACTGCGTCCAGAGCTCCCGCGGAAACATGGGCTTGTCACGCCTTCCTCGCCACAAACCCGGGGCCTGCCAGCAAACCGTGTTTGTTGGGCACCTCAGAAACCCAGGGGAGCTCGGTCGGAACCCGTGCTGTGGTGCCACCCCCGTGGTGTGGCAGCGCGGGGGTGCTACTTCTGGTGCCTTCTGAGCTATTCCAGTGTCAGAGGTGGGATTTTACCCTTTACCTACAGTGGAAGCACCGTTCTTGGCAGCTGTTCAATGCAAACAAATTAATAGTTTGGCACGTACAGATGTAATGTTGATGTCAATGTATATGTCTCTGACAAGACTAAAACAAGCGGCCTCTCTTTGTGCTCTAGGAAGGCTGTAGCTCAGCAGTGAAAGAATTCATACATGGCTGTTGAATGTTGAGCGTTGGGGAAAGTGTCATTATGTGCTTGACTTGTTGAACTTTTCTCTAGGCATCTGTCCATGCCCACTATCAGTGACTGGATAGCTACATTTCTCCTGTCCCACGGAACTGGTCTGACCCAGTGTAACAGTTCTTATTTCTTAAATCTGTGTATATTTTCTATATGCATATAAAATGTAGAGGGGAAAAATAGTTTCAGCATTTCCGGTCATCTCTGATGTGGTTGTAAACCACATGTGTGGGTATATATTGGGGAATCTGTGCTATCTTGCAGGGTTAATATGAAAATGCATTTGCAGCATCAAAGAATAATTTATATGTGTTTATCTTTGCTGTATTCTGGCTTAGCACTCCAGAATTATTTGTTAAATAGCATTTGTTTCAAGATCTTGGCAGTCTTACCTGGACTAAAAAATCCAGGGTGCAGACCAAGGCCTTAGAGATGGTCACATGCTGAGTAAGTGTTGCAGGCTGAGTACTAGTTCCTCTCTGAAGAGTGAATTGCTTCACAGCACAGTTCTCATAAACATGAGTTTGCTGAGCTGCAGAACTGGTAGCATCTGGCTTCCCATTGTGTTCCTGTCATACACCTGACATTGAGTTGTGTGCAAGCCTGAACAGAAGTTGTCCTCTACCTGGGGCGTTCTCAGGCAATGTCTAGCAAGGGTGGAAGCAGTGCTGTACTGCACTCTCCTATAAGCAGCTGCCTATTTCTACAGTGTGTAGGAACTCGTTCAGTTTAAGGTTTTTTTTTGTAAACAGTCAGCTTCTCCTTCCCTCACCTTTAAGTCAAGCCCAAATTCTAGCAATTCTTCCTTCAAAACAGTTTTCTTGGCGTATGCAAGTATTTTTTAAATTGACTGAAATACAAGACTACTCACATCCTTCATGACAGCTTATCTCTGGCATGGTAGCCACTTGCCCCAGTTGAGTTTGTTTGTTAAATCAGCTTTCACAGAGTGAAGATCACCTATTTTTAACCATATAAAAAGTAAGTGTCCACTCTGCATTAGCTGCCTAATGTGTCTACAAAGACAGGTGCTACCAAAGGATGATTCATTCCCTAACAAAGGTACTTTTAGAGAGAGAAAAACTTGATCTCTCTCTGTTGATTATAAAGAAAGGTTCTGTCTTGCTGCAGAATCCAGAAGGTCTTTGGTGATCCCTGGTCTTGTGGCACACACTGCTCGATTCTTAATACAGGCAAGAACAGTTGTACCAAATCAAACAAAGCATCCTGCAGGCTCTTCTGCTTCAGGTACAAGATCCCTCGTTGTGTGCTGAGGGCACAAGTTCTGGCTTCTTCTTCACAAAATCAAGCCTCTTAACTGGCACCTTGGTGCCATCAAGAAGTGCTGAGGCCTGTCCTTGGCAGTTTGTTTTCTCTCTCCTGTCTCCAGTTCCTTGATTTTTGAACATTTGGCCTTCACACCCTCTTGCGTTAATGTTTTTCTCTCCCTTGTAACCCCTTGATTCCTTCCTGCTTTCTTTTATCTTAGCTGTCCCTTTCTAGGGAAGGCTTGACAGCCTTTTTGGATTAGACTAGTTGGTAGGTAATAGTGTCTAAAAATAAATGCCTAAACAAATGTGTAAGAATAAGCTAAGCATGTGCTATGCTTCCTTCAGGTACCTCACCTATATGCAACACAGGAACTTCCTAGATTTTCCTTTCCAGATCTTAGGGTGTACCGAGAGGCTTGGACTTTATGTTACCTGATTGTTACTGAAGTGAGACTGCTTGAAGAGGAGAGCATACTGGCAGAGCCACGTCTCACCTGAGTACTTGAAGAAGCTAGAGAGTCATGGAGCTGGGATGAGTTCCTTAGACTAGACAACAAACATTACAAATGCCAAGCCATATGCAATTTCACTATACATAATATGTAAATTGAAAAAAACAGATGTTGCGAAACAAGCTGTCAGTACGGTAGAACCAAATATACATAAGTTATGTTTTTTGCAGCCAATAATCAGCCTGCTTCTGTATATTCATTCCAACAAGTGTGCCAGACTTGACTTCACCTGGGATGCCTGTGGGAGAGCTGGGGCTGACAGTTCTTCTGGATTTGTTGGTGCCTGAAAGACAACGATCTTCTTCTGTGGTGCCCTGCATCATGAAGTGGTTGTTAAATTTTGTGTGGTGAGTTTAACCAGCAGTGCTATAGAATAGAAAGTATAAGGACAAATCACATTAAACTATATAAAATAGCTATAACTGTATAAAGACAAAATAAACTGTAAGGGTTACAGAGCAGCTCCTCTGGCTGTCATTCGGGTAACATGAAAGGGATCATCAAGGCAGCGGCTTCTGAATTTTTCCCCTGAGTTGTTATCATCTCTTCTAGAAATTGCCCTGCACAGCTTAAGTTCTTTCCTTTTATAAACCCAGGAGAATAACATCTTCAATTGGCCAGTGTTAGGAACAGGATATTATTATATGAGAGGATTTTGGCCCACTGTTCTTTTTTTTTTTCCTTGAACAATAAAACATTTGGCACTTATAAGAACTGAATGGGATTGTACTGAGATGCTGTGCACTTCAAAGTGGTCTGTGGGTTTAGCTCCTTTAAAAAGGTTTGTCTTCTTTTGTGGGGTAGGATCCATACTTTTTAATGATCAGATACCACATAACAAGTATTACAGTTTTTGTGAACACACAGTAAGTCATGAAACTTAGATATAGTAAGTAGACTCGATATGTCCAAAGAGCTACTTCAGCACTTCCTCATTTTGTAAATTAACTCAAACAGAAGAATATCAGGAGCCTAATGTATGCAAGACAAAGTAGCTCTGACTAGTAGTAGAATCTGCTCTTTCCTTCCTATTAACCAGCTGGAAACCATACCTGTGATTTTGAATATGGGCTGTAATTAT